ATTTTTACCTTTAAGATATGCTATGCGAGCAAATTATTCTCATAGTAAATTTCAATTGCAAGTATTACGAATCGACTCTAACAAAAAAGAAAAAAAGCTTTAGAATAATTCGTCCATAAAAGCCGCCCAAAAACTTTATTAATACTCCGTAGCATCTTATTGGTAACTGATAACTCTATTACAATGTTCAGTCATAGATATTTAAGACTACACTTGACAGATAACCGAATTAAATACTCAATATCAGCCTATTGCTGTCCACTGCTGAACGTAACTATCTCTGTCCTGGGCAGCCCGCAGCCTTTCTTAAGTCGTCAGTCCATCGTGCTGCAGGTTGCCCCACACTACGTTTCCCTAATTAAATACTAGTTAAACGCTAATTCAACTCGTGATCTATTTAATACCCGCAGATGGCCTTCTTTTCGTTAAACAAACAGATATTACGTTTATACATCAAAAAGTGTCATAAGTTGTTATTGATTTTCTAATTTGTAGTGCTTTTGTTGTAAATAAATGTTTTCAATTTCAATTTCAAACACTTTCTAATGATCGCATCACGATGACAATAAAGTAATATCTTCCGTGAAAAAGGTACAGGCATATTTTAGAACGTGCACTTCGTCCATGCGTTGCTGCGTTCGTTTCAGAAGATAATGAGGGCATGAGTCACGCGTGACTCATGTCCACAGATTGTTTAGTTGTTCGATTACCTGCACCTCTGCAGTTCATTTCGTAACCGCATTGTTGGTACGTAAACTTTACTTCGAGTAATTATTTTTACTTTCATTACGCTTGAAATGAAAATCCGAATAAAAATTAGAAGTATTACGTTGTTCGAGCAAAATTTGAAAAGGAAATATCGAAAACGCACTCAGAAAATTTTACCTGTCAAAACCTACCCATGAGTATTTAGCCAGCAATTCCTATTTAAAAAGAAAGGAACGCATTTTAAAATTAGTCTTCCGTCAGAGGTAGACGATAGAGCAAGGAAATAACTCGCGATAAAACGGTCAAATCCAAGAATAGGTCAACATTTTGGACATTGTAGGGAAGTAATAATGTAGACGGGTGGGGCTGTGGCAAGTCAGTAAATGTGATCCCCGACTGGCTTGCGACCTACATCTACATGTCGCGCGGCCGCATTGGCGCGAATTGCCATTTTAAGGCTGCGGCGTACAAAGGCGAATCTACGTCCAGATTTCACTGGAGACCTCTGTTCAAGACTCGGTCTTGTAACAGAACACTAAACCGGTTTCTATATGATTCCCTTCTAAATGAGAGCAATTTATATACATGCAGTGAAAACTAGAATAGTGTCAGTGCCATTTAAAAACAATCAAATTATTGCATGTTAATTACATTTCGGATATTGAATACGGGCGTTAATAGAATCGTATAGCGCGTTTTTTTTTTGTTCATCACGATGACTTCATGTTCTTCGGTGATGTTTACGAGTACAGAAACATTTCGTGTATTATTGTAAAGAAAAATTTTAAGTCAGGCATACATTTAAGGTTTACATTCATTAAAAGTCACAAAAGCAGCCCTGGGAGAAGGTTCGTTGCATCAAAACGTCAAAGAATGTCGAAATAAAAAGTCATTTTGCAAGTTCTAAGCCCCTGAACCAGCAACAAGTCTCCTGGGAGCCCCAGTAGTATGGTGCACACCATTTAAAGACAAACCCTCCACCAAATAAGGGTAAGATTCCTTTGCATTTTTTGGCTCGGTCGGAAAACCATTTGAGTGGATGTACATTCTTTCGTTTCGCGACGATCATCGTGTTTCGTTTTTAAAAAAAAGTCTTAAGAAGCAATACGTATTCGAGTGGGAATGGGCAGTTTCGAAAACGGCGAGGGCAATATAGTCATTAAAAAGGTACACTGAAAACTTTCTTCCAAATGATTCGATACAATAAAGTTAACTTTTTCAATGGAAAATCAGGCAAACAAATATGTGGTCAGCACCGGCCATGATGTTTTGCAATACCACTTACGCAATTATTGTTAGTCATTAAATGTAAACCATGATTTCAATGTTTTCAAAAATAATTGCTCGAAAAATTATTTCCCTTTGAGTACAAAAAACTTTAATAATCTTTGTTATTAATGTTATTAATTTCAAAACTCTCGCTTTGTAACTGGCTTTTCTATTTTAATAATTAAAGGCATGAATTATAATTTATTACGCTCGACTGGCCATTGATCGTAGGTACAATCTTCGCATTTCGTTTCTGTACGTGTCATGTATAAAATATATAGACGAAATCTGGGACAAGGTCTTACGCTGCAGTACTAAACGAATTAGGTACATCTTGCGTAGCTCTGCTGCACATGCATTATTTTCAAATTCTAACTAACATCGCTAGAAATGCTGACACATTCTTCTGTCTTACGCTTTGATATACGCTTAATTTATAATTTGTAAAGTTTAGTTAATGCCTTTGCAGTGCATCTTCTTTACATAGTAGTTAAAACGAAGTAGCTCCCGATGTTTGTACACTTAGATCTTTTAAATTACGCAACGGATTTTAATGCGGTTTTCAACAATAAATAGTGATTCAAGCGGAACATTTATGTAGTATACATGCATATTATTTTGAGAAAAGCCGAGATATTCAATAAAAATATCAAGTAATTCCGATGGTTTGTGAACAAAACAAGAGTGTTTTTATATAATTTTTATTCTGAAGTTCCAAGGGTAACGAAAATAAGGGACAGTGAAGCATGGCAAGGTTCAGTTTGTTATTAATTGAAATATTAAATAAAATATCTAAACACTCTTTTACTTTCTATTAATCCCTATTTTTGCCACCAAAATATGTTTATAAGATCGTGCTAAACTTTCCCGTAATTTAAAACCTGGTTATGTATAATTTTTAAAACAATGAAATAAAATTAGGCAGCAAGGACATCAATCACATTAAGCACGTTTGACTCTGATAATATTTAAATTTATCGTAATAGCATTTAAGTTTCTTAAATCCACCTGTAATAAAAAATATAAAAAGCTCTATTAGACGTGGGCGAACTTGAGTCATTAATAAATATTTTACTGTATTCTTATACGATGACATACTTTAGCCCCTACGTGTATTACGATAGAAACCACTCGATACCATCGAATATTTTGTTGTTATCGTAATCATGTTTCCAAGAATATATATTTTTACAGGAACTCCATCAAATAATCACCTTAAACACCTATCTCTCTCCATTAAAATATCAAAATCATATCAAAGTTGAAAACATTACGCAGCGTATATTCCAATTTACTTCACGTAATTAAAGGTGACATTCAGATGATCCTCGCGATAAAGATGGCCAAATGTCCGCACCATTTACTGACCAGTGACTAATTAATACTTTTGCTTAACAGGCAGGCAAAATAAAACTTAAACAAAATGAAAATAAAAACGTGTTCTATATCATAAGAACGATAATTATTATCACTCCATCCATAACGACTCATGAATCGGCCTATAAATGTGGTAAATAGAATTATTTATAACCGACATCAGTGGATGCGTGTTATATACAAGACTCCCGACATTCCACAATAGTCGGATAATATGCGGTCGAAGCACCTCATCCAATGTCAGAAAGCAATCTGTTGAAAAAAAAAATGATGAACCCGACTCGTCTGCGGCACTACGCGACAAAGTCGGAGAGATCGCAGAATGATGCCAGAGGCCAAGCTACGTCCGCACAGTTTGACACGTTCGGGTAATAACTATAGGCAGTAACTCTCGATAAACTACATAGGTACCTATATCTAGTAAACCAGTGAGGCCGTTCACAAGGCGCGGTTGTGAATGCAATTATTTCATGCTCGATGTGCTTGCGTATCCGCCATGATTGTCGAACACGAAATCGAATATTTTGGAAGACAAAGGCGTCAGAAAATGGTAGAATAAACGTATTTACAGCGAGAGAATGAATTTGTTTACATTTATGCATCATAACAAATATGAACATTGTTATCAAATTTATGTAGTAATCAAGTATTATCTAATATAAATATTGATGATGGCATAATATGCCTCCACTGGCGTATGAATGAGGTAAATTTTGCAAACTGACTTCGTAACCGTTTAAAATACTGTAACGTGCATTCAATTGTTGAACTCCAATGCTGCTACAATGAAGAAAACAGCTTAAATAGTAAACGAATAAGTTCCTTCTAGGTTTTTATTATAAAAACATTTGTCCCATTACAAGCAAAACTTAAACGGCCTACATTTACAACACTAAAAAAATCATTGCATGGCTTATCTGTGTAGAATTGTAGATTTGTATTTTTTTTTGCAGACTAGGAATAATACGATTAAGACATGAAATTGCCGTGTTAGGAAATAACTTTCACAAAGTACGTCTATAGAACACTTTCACGTAACTACTTCGTTCATATTTGGAAACTAAATAGATGTAACTATTCGGTATTATAACTTACAAGTTTGGGCAAATTTAAGTAAAGAGGTTTCTTTTTTGTCTTAAAAATAGTTTTATGTTGTTTATTCATAGACAGAGAAAGCGTATCGTTGTTATCTGTTGTTATTTATACATCTTACGCGGCAAAAATAAGATCAAATATTGAGTAATACTAATTTACCTTTATAAATAGCGGCATTCACGTAGATTTGATTACGGTGTTTAATGTTAATCAGTTTGTTTATGCATTCGCACGGTCACAAGGAATCGGTGCAACTCATAAACAGATAACGCCTATTTCGAATTTCTAAATATGTACTGTAAAGCAGCGGTTATGTACTACTCGAGGAGTACAAGTATTATATTATTTCACCGTTAAAACACTGATAGAATTTGGTACATCAAAGGATTTGAATTAAGAACACGATGCCCGCAGCTAGCCGCTACTAAAATTATTGATCTAGCAGCGTAACAAAACAACAAAAGATATAAAACGGGCCGGCTGCACACCCCCGCGCGGGCCGAATCGATCAGAATGATAATTGTCGCGCACAAAGACTGGTGACTACTCACCTAGACAGACGGAATGCACACACCTAAAACAACAACACACACAATTTATGTCAACAATCTTTCAAATCACAACGTCCAGGGCACTATAACTATGTATTTCGGCACTTTTTTTTTATGTTTTTGATACGTTAAACGGTAAATTAGTGCGAATTAAAAGCGATTTGTGTCGCGGAGACGCGAGCAATTCAACGACCGCTAGCAAGATGGCTCCGCGTATGCCGCGCGGCGACCGCCCCCCCGCGCTCCGCGCGTACGTGCAATGAAAGATAGGTGGCTGCTACACAAGGCAGTCGAAGAACGCCAACTATTCCTATGATAAAATATTTAAACTAAAACACAAATAAACGAGAATTTCTTCTCACATAACTATTAAATAAAAAAAAATGTATTTGAATCGAAAATAATTACAGTTAACATTTAAACAGAATTTATATAAATCATGTATGTATAAATTACAAATTATTCATATAAGTTGTTTTAATAATATATAGTGTATTATCCGTCCCTTATAAAGTATATCCATTTAAAAGGTATACATTACACGGAGTAAATATTTATAATATTTAAAACACTAGAATGTAAAGTACCAAGCATTATTCATAAAATATATTGTATAAAATGGATCATCATATTACTTTCATAATTTTTTAACACTTTTATCTTCAGACCAGTCCTGAGATTGAAGCCGGTGTGCGGTCCTACCGCAGTTCTTTCCCTTCACACCGCTTTGCCCGTGCCGAGATCGCCCCGCGCCCCGCACCCGTCCTGTCCTCTGCCTACCGACCTCTTATATACTGCTCTCTTTACAACAAAAAAAAACACCAATTTCCCAAATTCCCGAAGCGGACCGCGCGCTCTCTCGCTCGCGGCAGACCTAAGATGGCCGCCCGCTTCCATTTTGATCGCAGATTACATTCGTCGCGTCCCTCGACCGATTGTTCAAAGCCTAAACGATGCGGCGTCCTGCCGTTATCGCACGCTTTGTAAACGTATCGCACACGTATTTAGGCTATTTTTTCCCGTCTGATACGACGGTAATGTTAGATTTTACATAACACAGTCCGTTTCCGCGTGAACCGTGTAAAAAATGGCCGACGTTATTGGTTTAGAGATAACCGAGAATATCGAGATCCGGTTATTGTATTGATTGAATGTACCGTCCGTGCGGGGTTGAAAGAAAGTCCATAGCTGCTCTAAATGGCCGCGTTAAAATGTAGCCGGGTTACGGCCGTTGCGATGGTTTTGTCTCTTTCGTTATTCCGGAGTCCTCTCTACCTGCCGCACACGACATAAGCGGCAATAAAACAGCTACCTAGTTATTTGAGAGGGATTTGTGCACAGTGAGCCATCGGAACTGTAGAACAAAATCACACAATCCGATATAATTTAGCTGAATTCTCTGCGATTATATATTAATTTCTGTTGTTGCACTAATGTTACAATTTTATTTGAATTTTCCTTCACATAATATTATTAAGTAGGTACTTGAAAAATGAAAATAGATATTATTTATTAACTTCATTTGAATCTTAATTCAACTGATAAACAACTGCACTACTTACAGTATTAAATCATGTAAAACAGCCTATATTTAAAATTCAGTAAAAATTTTCAATATTGGTCACACTTGTTTTCGTTATTCATCACGTCAAGAAATGGAATATTAATTCGAAATAATATAGTGTTCAAAAGCACTTGCTGTTGTATAAGTTAATATTCAAAGAATTAAATCCGTGATGGAAAGCACCAATAAAAGATATCTACTTTTGTAAGCTTTAGATATGGATACTTTGACTTGTTTTATGGGTTATGCTTGAATTTTAAGTTTCATAATTATTATTACTATATGCAATAACATTACGAAATAAGTAACTGATTTATTCACTCTTTCGCGCCTTTAGTATTCATAATTATTGAAAAAACATCAGCATACGATTTCATCTGTTATGCGTCTTAACTGTTGGATTTAGACTTAATATATTTTTATATCATAAAAAAAAACAAAATATGCCAAAGGGTGAAATGGTAAAAACCATCAATTTATATATTATATATAATCTAGTCTATACAAGGTAGTGACCGAATAAAATATTGTTTAGTTCGTTTACTGATCACAGGCCTACGACTACCGCCATCTTTTGATAGAGAAAATGAACAGCTTTACAGTAGGTACACCTAAAACAAAAACATTGAGTATTTATCTTAAATCTTTATATTAAAGAATAAGAAATGAAGGCGTACACGATGGACTAGACTAATAATATGAGAAATAACCTGTTGGCAAGATATTATTATATTAAAACTCCATTTTTAAAATTATCGGATAGTAACCACGAGATGTCACTGTTACGTTATCTGCCACAGATATAAAACATAATCTTAAATGTTTGCGATGAAAAGTCTTGGAAAGCAGTTAATATATATTTTTCATAATTAATACTCTTACATTCTATGGAAGAATTCGTTACAATAAATGTAACCAATAAACTCATTGTTATTATCATTGTGGGATATTCATTTGTTTTCTTGTCTGGTTGGGTTTATAAATAAAAAATAAACATATAGATACATATTGCATATATAACATTAATATTATTAATAAAAATAAACATATAGATATAAATATTATATATAATACATAAATAAATAGGACCGAACCAGACGGAAGCCCTCGGCAGGGGAGACCAAACGGCCGAAGGTTAGGATGAAAGGAAGAGAAACCGGCGGACGATGCGGGCGGTATCGAGGAGCATCGCCTTCTGCATTTGAGCTTGGAGCTGCCGGCGTTCCGTCCCGGAGTCCCAGTCGCCTCAAATGTCCGGAGAGGCTGACTGGGATCAACCCATTCGCAGACACGGCTATCGGAATAATTTCGGTCGTCACACCACCCCACATGTCGGTCACCTCGTGAGCCAGGTCCAGATACTTCATCTTCTTATCTGTTTCGGCTTTCACGAGGTTCTCGTCATATGGAATGGTAATGCCGACCAAAAATACCCGTGACTGTGCCCGGTCCATCAACACGATATCAGGTTTGTTCGCGACAATCGTCCAGTTCGTGATGATGGACCGGTCCCAATAGAGCCTGGCGCGGTCATTTTCGAGCACGGCCTCCGGAGAGTACTTATAGTACGGAAGTTTCCGTTCCACGAGGCCGTATTTCAGTGCGAAGCTCCTGGTGTAGGATTCTGGCTACTAGGTTGTGTCTATGCAGATACTCAGAGTTAGAAAGCATGGAATGGAGAAGCTCGACAGATGTCGACTTGTTATTATTATTAATATAAATAATAGACTAATTTAAGGTAATATTATATTCTTGGTGTTGTTTGTCGTGGGCATTCATGTCCATCATAACTTGGAAAAATACATTCTTATTTATCACCACTTTTAAACTATTCTCTCTTGAAAATATTTTTAAAGGTAAGTTAAGTAAAATTTACTATTCTTTTTTGTAATGGTATGGAATCGAACCAGCATTTTTTTGCGGTTACTGCGTCTTTGAATAATACAATAGAATAGATTTAGTCTGTTGTATTATTAAATGTACAAGGACCTAGTGCTAAGCTGTCCTCTCCGGTGCCGGGGGTTGTGGGTGCGATTCCCACACGGGACAAACGTTTGTGTGACACACGGATGGTTATTCCGGAGAGGTAGTCGGTGATAAAAAACCTAGCCAGAGAGTACTTTCGTATATAGGGAACCTAGCCAATACCACTCACAAAATGACAAGTTGTGCCGACTCCCACTAGATGATACAAGGGCAGCCGGATGATGATGATGTATTATTAAATTTTATACAATTTTTTCTTAATTAAACTTTTTAACAGGCATTTATTCTAGACAACTCAGTGATGCAAAGCACATTGTTGCACTTGGACCTTTCCCTCAAATACTGAGAGTTACAAAGTTTTCAAAGGTTCCAAATGCCAAAAACTGCCAAACATTACTACATGAAAATATAATTAAGTAAATCTTGCTTCGTAAGAAAAAGGTTAGTGCCAGTTAGCCAAATATGACTTGGCTTCTCTACAAATAATACTTGGAACGCGAAGCCAAAAAAACTTATAGTCATACTGAGAACATCAAACCAATAATACTACAGGAATAAATAATATAGTAAATATTAACTATTGCCTATAGTATAGTCAAACATTTAAGCTACCTCAGTTATACATTTAACTTAATTACGTTCGGTCGTCGCGGTGCAATTTAGGGATTAATTGTGCTTAAGAATTATCCATTTATATTAGAACCTATCCATTAATATAAGTGTGACCGGTAGCAGTCTTACCAGTAGCGACGGTAAGGGAAGTTAATTTTAAATGCGAAGTAAATTTGCTTTATAGTTCCGGTAACGTCAATGAGTCATAGGAATTTCCTTTCGCGTGTACGTACATAACATAGATTTGACAATAGAGCAGAAAATGTTTATGGTTATAATGTTACTTTTCCCGGCCAATTATAAAATATATTTTAATTTCTATTCCCTAAAAAATTTGCAAAAATTTTTGCCAAGCCTTAGGTTTTTTCAAGTATAAATAACAAAACATTGTCATTGTTTCTGTTATCGAAAGGTAAATAAGAAAACATAATCGCTAAATCTTAGCAAATACATCGATTCTCATGTAAGAAATGAATGTTTACTATTCAAATAATAGTTCGCATCAGTAAGTTTACAATGTAAGTTGTAATGGTTATTATAATATTATTTATTTTTTTATGTGAAAAGTTGCCAAGCGAGCAGGCGGTTCACCTTATCTTAAGTGAATACCGCCGCACATGGACATCTGCTACACCCGAGGGTTGCGGATGTGCTAACAACCTTTTGAAGATTGGGCTCCAGCTACCTCACTCACCAGACGAAACGCGAAAGTATTATACTTCCACTTCACGCCAGTAAGGTCGTGGTACTTACCCGGACGAGCCTGCCCATTCGTGCAACAGCCGAGGCTGCTGCGTGGCCTTATCACAATTAAGACCCTTACTTTCCTGAACTTAGACCCACTGATGGGATGTTTATCAAAACTATAACAAGAAATAATGACGTCCAAAAAATAAAGGAAAGGCCCGCAGTAAAACCGTTGTGAGAACCAAAGTGAGCAAGCTATTTATGGGGCGACATATAAGTTTTAAAACAAATCCTAAATGGAACGTTTTCAGCAACAAACAAGAACTATTTGTACGGGAACCTATTCTTGTATCTTGTAGTAACTGATGTTTTTGCTTTCAGTCCCGAGACTATTAAAGCTTCATCTGACACAGAACCGGTGGGCTCCTAACCGGACATATTACTATCACTCCACTGTCTGTCTGTCCGTCTGTCACCAGGTTGTATCTCATGAACGCAATTGAAATTTTCACAAATGATGTATGTGTGTTGCCGCTATAACAACAAACACTAAAAAATGGAATAGAAAGTGGGGCTCTTATACAAGATTTTTCTCGCCGTTTTTATAGACAATGGTACCCTTCGTGCGCTAGTCCGACTCGCACTTGGCCGGTTTTGTAATTTGACGTATAGAATATGCAATTTCGTGTACAACACGATTTATAGAAAGAAGATACGAGTGTCATCATCAATTTGATATTTGAAATAATTTTTCATTAACATTTCAATTTCAATTAAATTATCGCTGTGAATAAAATGTACCTATGATAAATATTATAACAACAAGACGCGTAAATATAGTGTATCGGAGTATTAATTCACGAAGAGAAGAGCAAATAAGTACTAAACGTACATTTCACAGCCTATCCACGACCTGACGCTTACTGCATGGTACATAACTGACACGCGATCTCGTCCTGAGCCACAAGCGTGAGATTTTAAATAAAACACTTATGCCATTACTTGACGAATGGTTTTTTGCGGCGCGTTCGTATACCTGTCAACTGCT